AATGTGACTTGTAAGTATAATTTACCCATTCTCTCTTCCCCTTTTCATTTGTTGATATACTCTTTCATGCACATCTTTAAAAAAAAATCATTTTATTGGGGGCTCGTACAACTCTTATCACAATCCATCCATCCATCCATTGTCAAGCACATTTGTACATCTGTTGCCATTATCATTCTCAAAACATTTGTTTTCTGCTTGAGTCCTTGGTATCAGCTCCTCATTTTTCCCTTCCCTCCCTACTCCCCCCTCCCTCATGAACCCTTGATAATTTAGAAATTATTTTGTCAGATGCACATCTTTTTTATGAAGTTCAAATTATTTGTTGCTGTTTATATTTGTTGAATCCAAAAACCTATTGTGAAAAATAAGGTCTTGAAAATTTACTGGTTTTCCTCTTTTATGGATTTAGTTCTTATATTTAGGTCACTGATCCATTTTAGGCTAATTTTCATATATATGGTGTGGGTTAAAGGTCCTATTTCATTTTTCATGTGTAAACTTAGCTGTCCTAGCACTACTTCTTGTGGAAAAGACAGTTATATTTATATTTACACAATGAGTAGACTTAGCACCCATTTTGAAACCAACTGCTCATAGTTTTTTAACTGTATTCTAGACTCTCAAATTTTAAATATGTGTACCATTATGCCAATATCAGGCTGTTTTAATTTCTGTAGTTTTGTTGTATGTCTTGAAATTGGGAAGTATGTGTCCTCAAACTTACATCGTCTTCAAGATTAGTCTGGCTTTATGAGACCCCTTTGTAATTTACTATGACCTTAAGACATTTCTATTTCTGCCAAAATGCTGTTGGGAGTTTTGACAGTGATTGTTTTAAATCTGTAAACCATTTTTGGGTAGCACTGACATCTTAACATTATTAAATCTTCCAAATGTGAGTATGGAATGGATTTTATTTCCATTTATTTAAGTCTTTCATTTCTTTCACTATTAGTGTTTTGTGCACAAATTTTTCACCTACATGGTTAAATTTGCTGTAACTTACCGCTGAGTTGGTTCCAACTCATAAGAATTCGATGCACAACAGAAGGAACATTGCCTTACCCTTCTATCTCCTCACAATTGTTATGTTTGGGTCCACTACTGCAGCTACAGTGTCAATCCATCTAGTTGAGGATCCTCCTCTTATTTAGTGACCCTCTTTGTTACCAACCATGGTGTCCTTTTCTAGGATTGGTCCCTCCTGACAATACATCTGAAGTATGTGAAATAAAGCCTCAGCATCCTCATCTCTATAGGGTATTCTGGCTGTACTTCCTCCAAGATAAATGCGTTTGTTTCTCTAGTATTCTTTGCTAACACTATAATTCAAACATCAAAATTATTTTATGGTTTTCCCTATTTAATGCCCAGCTTGCTTTAGGGCTCAACGTGGTCCATCCCACATTTTAAAAATTATTTTCTCTTTATTATGAATTTTCTGATTTTGAAAGAGACAAGCAACATGGTTAAAATCCTTATTATTGTTATTATTATTATTATAAAGAATGTACTAGATAAACAAGTGGCCATCTAGCCCAGAAGCAACAAAGCCCACATGGAAGAAGCACACCAGCCGGTGTGATTAAAAAGTGTCAAAGGTATCAAGTATCAGGCATCAAAGAACAAAAAATAATATCATTGTGTGCTCACCTTCCCAATACGATCGCTGAAGACAAATGGGTGCATAAGCAAATGCGGTGAAGAAAGCTGATGGTGCCCGGCTATCAAAAGATATAGCATATGGGGTCTTAAAGGCTTGAAGGTAAACAAATGGCCATCTAACTCAGAAGCAACAAAGCCCACATGGAAGAAGCACAGCAGCCTGTGTGACCATGAGGTGTAGAAGGGATCAGGTATCAAAGAACAAAATATCAAATAATTGGGAATGAGGGGGAGTGCAGATTGGGGACATAAGACCCATTTGTAGGCAACTGGACACCCCCTTACAGAAGGGTCACAGGGAGGAGATGAGCCAGTCAGGGTGTAGTGTAGCAACAATGAAACACAACTTTCCTCTAGTCCCTAAATGTTTCCTCCACACCACCCCCACTATCATGATCCCAAATCTACCTTATAAATCTGGCTAGACCAGAGAATGTACACTGGGACAGATAGGAACTGGAAACATAGGGAATCCAGGACAGATGATCCCTTCAGGACCAGTGGTGAGAGTGGTGATACCAGGAAGGTGAGGTAGAAAAGGGGAACTGATTACAAGGATCTACGTATAACCTCCTCTCTGGGGGATGGACAACAAAAAAGTGGGTGAAGGGAGACATGGACAATGTAAGATATGACAAAATAATAGTTTATAAGTTATCAAGGGTTCATGAGGGAGAGGAGAGCGGGGAGGGAGGGGAAAAATGAGGAGCTGATACTAAGGGCTCTAGTAGAAAGCAAATGTTTTGAGAATAATGATGGCAACAAATGTACAAATGTGCTTGACACAATGGATGTATGTATAGATTGTTGTACAAGCCCCCAATAAAATGATTTTTTTTAAAGAGAATGCACTGATGAAAATAATGTAAAACTTGACTAAATATTTACTATGTGAGAGGAATAGTTCTAAGTACTTGGTATTTATTAATCCATTGAATCTTCACAGCAAAACAATACATAATTATATATACTTGTACATAAGAAATAAAACAGTATTTATATAAGCAAAATTGGAAAAATATAGGGAAGGATAAACAAGTATTTGCTAACAATAGTTACCTTTGTAGTATGAGATTGGGATTAGGACTGTTGATTTAAAAAAGAAAGAAAAATAACATTTTATAAAAAGAATATGTAGATAATTTCAGCATTTAAAATACATCTTAAAAGAAAACAAAATCAAGCAAGCATTCAAAAATAAATTTTGGTTTTCTTAATCAGAGCCACTTTTATAATTGCAAAAAATTGGAGCTAAAAACGTTCATCAGCATGAGCATAATGCATGAACATAATATCTATATTTACTGAGATGGAAAACATGATATATTGTAGCATGTAAAAAGCACAGCATATCTACCATGATTACAATTCCATAAACCAAGGACCACATGGCCAGCCCCACTATGAGACATGACATCCCTCACTGACCCATAGCCCTACAGGGGACAACACCGAAGACACAGTGTGGGAATTGCGCCCAATCTGATCCCGCCGCACCTAGGCAAAACACTAAGGGGGTGCAACAGATCAGCAAGGGAACGGAGCTGTGAGGTCCCCAGGGAATGCTGAAGGTTGACTTTGGGGCCAGGGTGTGGTGCCCCACAGACTGGACTGGAAAACACTCCTAAAGGCCAACAAACAGTCCTTGAACTAACTACAGGCTTTTCTTGTTGTTTTGTTTTTTTTGTCATTGGTTTGTTGTTGTTGTTTTGTTGTATATTGTTGCTTTGTTTTGCTCTGTCTTGTTTTTGTGCATGTTATTATCTCCGCAGGTCTGTCTAAATAAGATAGGCTGGATGAACAATCTGGAGGAGAAAACAATGGGATCGACAGTTCCTGGGGACATGGGAGAGGGGGAGGTGGGGGGGAAAGGTAGTGGTGTTAACAAACCCACGGACAAGGGAACAACAAATGATCCAAATCGGTTATGAGGAGGGTGTGGGAGGCCTGGTAGGGCATGATCACGGGTAATGTAACCAAGAGGAATTTCTGAAACCCAGGTGGGGACTGAGCATGATAGTGGGACAGGAGGAAAGTCAAAGGAAATAGAGGAAAGAGCTGGGAGGCAAAGGGCATTTATAAAGGTCTAGATAAAGGAATGTACATATGCAAATATATTTTTATATCAGGATGGGGAAATAGATCTATGTGCATTTATGTTTAGTATTAAGGTAGCAGAAGAACATTGGGCCTCCACCCAAGTACTCCCTCAATGCAAGAATACTTTCTTCTATTAAATTGGCATTTTATGATGCTCACCTTCCCAACACAACCGCTGAAGACAAAGCTGGTGAACAAGCAAATGTGGTGAAGAAAGCTGATGGTGCCCAGCTATCAAAAGATATAGTGTCTTGGGTCTTAAAGGCTTGAAGGTAAACAAGCAGCCATCTAGCTCAGAAGCAACAAAGCCCACATGGAAGAAGCACACCAGCCTGTGTGATCATGAGGTGCTGAAGGGATCAGTTATCAGGCATCAGAGAACAAAAATCATATCATTGTGTGCTCACCTCCCCAATATGATCGCTGAAGACAAACTGGGTGAATAAGCAAATGTGGTGAAGAAAGTGGATGGTGCCCAGCTATCCAAAGATATAGCGTTTGGAGTCTTAAAGGCTTGAAGGTAAACAAGCGGCGATCCAGGTGAGAAGCAACAAAGTCCACATGGAAGAAGCACACCAGTCTGTGTGATCACGAGGTGTTGAAGGGATGAGGTATCAGGCATCATCAGAATAAAAAAATGAGGGGGGAGTGCGGGGTGGAGACCCAAAGCCCATTTGTAGGCCACTGGACATCCCCTTACAGAAGATTCTCGGGGAGGAGACAAGCCAGTCTGAGTGTGATGTAGCAACGATGAAACATACAACTTTCCTCTAGTTCCTAAATGCTTCCTCCACACCCCCCACTATCATGATCGCACTTCTACCTTGCAAATCTGGCTAGACCAGAGCATGTACACTGGCACAGATAGGAACTGGAAACAGAGCCGATGATCCTTTCAGGACCAGTGGTGTGAGTGGCAACACTGGGAAGGTAGAGGGAGGGTGGGTTGGAAAGGGGGAACCGATTACCAGCATCTACATGTGACCTCCTCCATGAGGGATGGACAACAGAAAATTGGGTGAAGGGAGATGTCGGACTGGGCAAGATATGACAAAACAATAATTTATAAATTATCAAGGGTTCATGAGGGAGCGGGGAGCGGGGAGAGAGGGGCAAAAAATGAGCTGATGCCAGGGGCTTAGGTGGAGAGCAAATGTTTTGAGAATGATGACAATGGATGAACAAATGTGCTCTACACAATTGATGTATGTATGGATTATGACAAGAGTTGTATGAGCCCTTAATAAAATGATTTTAAAAATTCCATAAACCAAATCTGATAGGATTTTCTCCAAAAAATTGAAATTACTGCACTGTACTTGGTATTATTCCAAGTATCTCGGCATTTTAGTGTTTTATGTTCTTCTAATTAGTATAAATTTATAAAATGAAATAAAAGCATTAACACTGATTTAAAAAACAAAGTTATAATTCTACAAAGAATTTAGAAATATAAGTGGGGTTCCAAAAGCTCCTGGAAAAACAAAATGAAAAAAGATTTTTCCCACAAACCATTTGAAGTCCCTTGTACTAAAGGCAACAAAATCTAAACAGCATCTAGCTACAAGTACAAATACATGTATCAGGAGGGAAGATAACCCTGAAACACAAATGTAAACAATATAACATAACAGCAGGAAGGTAAATAAAACAACTGAGAAGGATGGTATTGAGTCAATTATAAGGGATATGATTTTCAGGGAAGGAAGACAAATGGTCATTTAGGCCTTGATTTTTATTGTAGAGTGAAATACTTCTGCATTAAAGCATATAAAATACAAATTTTGAGACTTTAAAAATATTTGGAGAATGTAACACTTATGCATGATTTTAAAAAATTAAACTATTAAGGTGGGAAGAGCTTTACTTTTTATTCTCCATCAGTATGAATTCCCTGATGACGAATGAGGTCTGAGCCACTACTAAATGTCTTCCCACAGTCTTTACAGTTATAGGGCTTTTCACCATCATGTATTCTCTGATGCCGAGTAAGGTTTGAACATTTATTAAAGGACTTTCCACACTCATTACATTCATATGGTTTTTCGTCTGTATGAATTCTCTGATGCTGAAAAAGTTGTGAATTCTGAGTAAAAGCCTTCCCACATTGAAAACATTCAAAGGGTTTCTCACCGGCGTGGATTCGCTGATGTTGGTGAAGTTGTGAACTCTGAGTAAAAGCCTTCCCACATTCCTTACAATTATAGGGTTTCTCACCAGTGTGAATTCTCTGATGATTGGTGAGTGCTGAGCCACTACTGAAGGCTTTACCACATTCCTTGCATTCATATGGTTTCTCACCAGTATGGATTCTCTGATGCTGAACAAGCTTTGAACTTTGAGTAAAGGCTTTGCCACATTCCTTACAAGCATAGGGTTTCTCACCTGTGTGAGTTCGCACATGTTGAAAGAGCTGTGAGCTCTTTGTAAATGCTTTCCTACAAACTTTACATTCATAGGGTTTTTCACCAGTGTGAATTCTCTGGTGGTCAATAAGATTTGAGCAGTAACTAAAGGCTTTTCCACATTCTTTACATTCATAGGGTTTATTCCCAGTATGAATTCTCTGATGTTGAGAAAGGTATGAATTACAACTGAAGGTCTTTCCACATTCCTTACATTCAAAGGGTTTTTCACCCGTATGAATTCTTTGATGTCTAGTAACATGTGAGCCACAGCTGAAAAATTTCCCACATTCCTTACATTCATAAGATTTTTCACCAATATGAATTCTCTGATGTTGAATAAATTGTGAGTTTTGGCTAAAGGCCTTTCCACATTTCTTACATTCATAGGGTTTCTCTTCATTATTAACTATTTGATGTAGATTAAGAAACGTGTGTTGAGAAAATATGGGCATGTATTCAGGACTGAAATATCCCAGATTTCTTCCCAAGTGGACTCTGTAGTCCAAGATATCTCTAAAGTTGGAGTCTTCCAGGCCCTGCTTTGTAAGTCCAAGTATATCCCTCTGGCATGATTCTATTTCATACACTTCCTTCTTTAGAGATAATAACTTGGTTTCACACATTGATTCCAGATCTGAAAGAAAATGAAATGTTAAAGATTCTTTTTCTTCTTTGGTTATAAGTTCAACTTTTATAACATAAATGGAGAAATTAAAGTGAAAATAATATCTAGTACTAAATGGCATGCAGTTAAAAAAATGTACCTCTATAACCCAAAAAGTGGACAGAAACTTTACAGAAATTAATGAAATATAATGCAGGAAGTAGAAGAAGGAAACTATGGAACTATTACTACAATTGTTGTGGGTTCAGGTAAAAGGACCACTACAATGTCCAGTTAGAATTATGTGAAGTCTTTATTGTATACCAGGCTAGGCCGGACTGCAGGGATGGGGACGTTCAAAGGAACTAGCCAACAGACTGCAGTGCCTGTATTCCCTGGCCAAGCCTTTTTATATTATTCAGGGAGGGTAGAATACAAAAAGCAGAAGAAAAAGCAAGTTAAAATACATATATCACTAAGTGGTATTGACAGAAGTAAAAGAAAAGTATAGGTAAAGGTTCAGGTGCCTTGTTTTATGATCCTATTCCTGGATTTTCTCTCCAGCTTGTCCTCCTAGCGGGGATGGGAAAGGAACACTCCAGGTCCCTGGGAGAAAGGCTTAAGGTGCTCTTGATAAGGAGAGAGGGGTAGTTTAAACAAGAATTGCTTAAGGGCACTTACAAACCTGCATTCCATTGTGATGTTAAAACAGATGCCCTTAAGCCAAGCAGAGGGCGCGCAAAGGGAGGTGGGGTGGGGAAGATGCCCTTAAGGGAAAGTGTTCTTGTCAGTTCTGCTTAAATGTGTTGATAGGAACTTGTCTACTTCACAATGATTCTCAAATATGATGTGGACCAGAATCATCTGTAAAGCTTAGTGAATGTACAGTACTTAAGACTACTTTCCATATTGAATGATAATTATAACTCACTGCCATAGGTTCAATTCTGGCTCAAAGTGACCCTATAGGCCAGGCTAGAACTGCCCCTGTGGATTTCTAAGACCAACTCTTTACAGTAGAAACCCTTGTGTTTCTCCTGAGGAGCAGCTGGTGGTTTCAAACTGCTGACCTTGTGGTTAGCAGTCCAAGCGACCCCTATGCCACCATTCAGGGCTCCTGAATGATGTCAAAATTAAATTACATATAGGCATGCATGTATTTGTGTGTGAGAGTGTGTGTCATTATATTATATGGAGCATAAAACATGGAAAAATTTCCCTTCGATTAAAGGTCTCCTAAGAGCGATAAATGCACATAGGGGAAGATTCTTAGGCTCTATAATAAAGGATATAATGACTAAAATATGAAGAAGGTAACAAAGGGTTAGCTACAAGGGCAATTGGCTTGATGTGAATCTAAGGTTTTAATCTACAGTGAACCCTCGCCACTTCGCGCTTCGACTTCCGCGGCTTCACTCTATCGCGGTTTTTGCGTAACAGCGCATGCTCTGTCATTACTGCCATTGATTGGCTCATACTGTACACGCTTGATAACATAAATAATAAATAATAAATGATAATTGTAATGTCCAAAATGTTTTACTGTATTTTCCCTTTTTCGTTTAATAAATTGTGTAATACGAGTGTAATGGTGACTAAAGGGTGTTTTTTCATGTCCTCTATGCTCTAACTACGAAAATATTTGATTTACAAATAAGGAATCCTACTTTGCAGAATTTCATTTATCACGGTAGGGTCTAGAACCGATTAACCGCGATAAACGAGGGTTCACTGTAATTTGATGTGAGTGGTTATTGAGAAAGACTCTCCCATAACCAGAATATGTGATATACTGGGATTTTGTTGAAGAATATGTGAATATACTGGGACTATGTGAATATACTGGGATTTTTGTTGAAGAATTCTATGACGCTTATCTTGGAAGAGGAAGAGAGATTGCTCATGTACAACATCAGTGACGGAGAAGGGAGGTGTTAAAGAGTTTTAGAGGAAACAAAGTAAGACAGTAAGTACAACACACCACCCTGAAAAGATGCCAGCAGTTTGATAAGAGCTGAGCCCTATCTTTGAACGTAATTGGCTTTTTGTTTTATCCTTCATTTTGAGCTCTGGTGGCATAGTGGATTACTGCCAGGTCAGCAGTTTAAAACCACCAGCCTCAGGAGAAAGATGAGGCGTTCTAATCCCATAAAGAGTTACAGTGTTGGAACCCAAAGGGGCAGTTCTTCATTGTCAGGTTCTTAAGAATCAGAATTAACTTGATAGTAGTGAGCTTGTTTTTAGTCTGGATCTTTCATTTGTAAAAGGGAGATAATCCTCCATTTGCTATTACTGGGAGGATGAATACGGAGAATGTATGTTTGTGACTTTGAGTAAAATGTTGACTATCTAATAGCTATTATTGTGGAAGAATTTCTTATCCAACATGGGGATATTAGGTTTTCCCTATAAGTCATTAAAGTGGAGCCTACTAGAACATCTCAAGGCAGAAATGGGGAATTCATTTGGGGAGAATTATGTTTCTCTTATCCTCTTTTGGATAGCTCTGCAACTTTCATTTAGTTAAGTTGTTTAGTAATCCTCCACTGCCAAGGTCCTCTCTAAAATCGGAATCACCTCTTACCTAGCCTACTGATGAAGCCTAACCCAATCTCCCACATTAAATTATCATACTGTTTAATCTAGTCAGGGACCAAAAGAACATTTGGTCCGACTTGTTTCCTGATCAAAACCCAACTCCTCATGATCACCAGTGATGGCGGAATGATGTGATTCCTTCCTCTCCAACCTTGTACGATACTCAATTGTCACTTGCTCACAAAGCCCAGCAACACGGCTTTCTTTAGTTCTTCAAAAACCCAAGTTCTCCCTTCTTATCCGAACCTTTAAGAATTTCTTCTGCTTAGAATTATCTTCATTAATCATATATTAATTAACAAGATCTACTAGTAAGCTTAATACTAGAGCAATTCTGTAGTACTGATGAGCATGAATGATATTCTAATAGGTATGTAAGAGTAAAATGATGTAAAATATTTGTGATTTATGTTATTATAAAAGTCACAGGATCTGCTCATACTACTATGGTTTGTTTGGTAAATACATACTAAAAGAAGAAATACTAATTTTTAATTGGAGGTCACTTAAAATTAAGGTATCTTTTGTACTAGTCATTCAAGTTCATTGACCTCTCCAATTCTACTAAAAGGAATCCAAAATTTGCAACATTTAATAATATGATGTTTCTCCTCTCAAATCATCCAATGGCTTTACATTTTACTCAGAATAAAATTCATAGTCCACACCAAGGCCCACAAGACCCCAAGAATGAACAGGCAATACTCTGACCTATCTCTGAAATACACACAGAGATTTATTCATACTTAAATACGGGTGTGAAATGCTGGGAGGAAGAATGTAGTCATAACCTGTTTAATTTCAGGGGGGCTATTGACTCGGATCATATCAGCACTCTCAATCGTTTTTACTACTTTGGACACCAACCACTCCTCCCACAGCAGGATTTGGCAATCAGTTGCAATGGCCACACAGAACTTAGAGTGAAGTGCCCGAATAAAGGAAACTACAGGCTATATAGCTTTGTCTCCGGCTCAGCATGCTACTCTCAGGATTGGGAAGAATGGGAGCAGATGCTCCATTCTTCGGTGTCAGGCCCGTTCTCTCAGCTCCTTTGGGTTATGGGTGGCCTCCTCTCAGCCTCTGAGGATAGGTCTCCTCTTGGTCCTCTGAGAACAAGCTTCTCTTTTATCCTTCAGGGCAGGCTCCGTTTGACCCTCCTGTCTGTCACTGGGTTCCTTCCAAACAGGTCTGCCAGTTCTGCCACTGGGTCCTTTCGAAGCCCGTCCATCATTACCTTCCGTGTGACAGACCCTGACCTATGTTTTAGCTCTTTTAGAGATTCCTTGCCTTCTTTTTCTCTGTTTCCTCTCTTCCTATTTCTGTTTCTGAAATTTCTGTGGAGTTGATTGCCTATAGACATAAACCACTGGTCAATTACAAGGCATAGCCTTCCTGCCACAGTTGTGAATTGATTAATCACCTCTTCGTAGGTTACACTTTTCATTTAAAGGGTACACTATATACCAGTCACAGGGCAGGCTGCAGCCCCGAACCAGACAAAAAGTACCAAACAAAGTTGTTTAATGTTTAACCAGGAAATGTAATAAATCCCTGGGACAAGAGTGGGAAAGCTCGCAAGCTGTTTTCTTAAAGAACCAAGCCTAAAGATCACACGAAGGAACTCAGTTCATCAGAGAGGCTGTAGTAGTTAAGATGTTATGTCAACTGGAATTGATATGAATGTACAGGGGTGAAGTCTAATTTCTCAATCAGGTTACAATCTGATGATGCCTCCTGGGGTGTGTGGCTTTTTCTAAAGAGAGGCAGTGAGAACGTCTCCTTCCTCTCTTGCTCTTTACCTTCATTCTTGCTGGGACTCTGGAGCTGCCTCCAGAGGTAGCCCCAGGTGGGCAGTTGACCCTGAGAGTCAACCTCCAAGCTGCCTCTGGCCTGCCATGTTTCCACCAACCTTGGATCCATGGGACTCTCTACCTGCCAGCCTGTGACCTCCCTGCATCCCCCTTTACCTGTCTGAATCCTTGGCCTTCAGCTCCGCGACTCTGAAGACGGACTCCCTCCACCTAGTACTGGACCCAAGACTT